TTTTATTAAAAACAAGTTAATTTCTTTCTTAATTTAAAAAATGATATAATTATAATATTATTTTTTTAAAAAAAAATCTATCCATCCTCATAAAAGTTAAGAAAAAAATTATTTTAAAATTATGTAAATTCAATAAATTTTCATTTAAAATAATTTTTACCTTTCTTTTCTTTAAAGAAAAAAACACTTGTCTCTCATCTTAAATTTTAAATTTATAAGTATAATACCTAGATCATTCGTTGATAAGAAAACTTTGGAATATTACTGAACCAAACATTAAAATCTAAACATTTAATTTATTTTGAGAAGATTACTTAATAGAGGATCAAAATTTTAATTCTAATAGTTTGTTTTTAAATCTTAACTATTTAAATGTTATTGATCAAAAATTAAACTCCAAGTAACGACTTTGAAAAAAAAAATTTCTTTCTTCCAAATTCCCCCATATTCATTAAAAGAAAAAAAACAGAATGGAAGGTAAGGGGGCCAGGGGAGCGGCAAGGGGTAGGGGGTGTGTCCGAACTACTGCCGGGTGGAGCTGCGTGTGGGGTGCCAAATGCCAGCCCAAACCCAGCTAGGAGTGGGGGGGTAGTGCATGCCACGCGGAAGTTCGAGGAGCGAGTGGGCCAATCTTTACTTGAAATAATTAAAAGGAGGAGAACAGGGATCGAGGGGAAGGGCCGGAAGGAGACCGTATACGGAAGAGGACCATACCAATACGGCTTTTGTCCGACACTGCCACCGATACCCCCACTGTGCCACTGGGTCCCAACTCCTTTCTCTTCCCCCAACATAAAATATATATAAAAAAAATATTTATGTAAGAATGTAATTAATATTTTTTTACCATAAATTTTTATTAAAAACTAAAAATTAATTTCTAATTTATTAATTAAGTAATTAAATTTATTTAATATTAATATTAAAATTAATTATTTTTTTTTTGAACATATTTACAAGGGGCAAGTTTCGAACCCAACCCGAGAAAAGGAGAATGCATCGGAGTGACCATTGTCACTAGGACTCAAGGACCGGATGCAATTAAAATTAATTTATATATATTTATAATAAAAAAATTCATCATGCACAAATTAAAAAAAAAAATTATATTAGATTGTACGTACTCTTAATTTTATTTCACGACGAAAACCTCTCTCCCCCTTTCACAACTCCCAAGTCCTAACTAATGCACCCTCCCTAATTTGTAACGCCCTTTCCTTTTGCACCTTTCGGTTTCTGACCCTTAAATGACTGTTTTACCCCCTCCCTCCATGTGATTAGATTAAGAGTTTATTATTTTATAATTTAAATTACACAAAATTATAAAATATAAATATTTAGATAGAAAAAGCCCCTAATATCAGTGGCTTATTACTACTCAAAAAAAAACTTGAAAAACATTTTTAGTTGGTGCAAAGTTTTTTGCAATCTAGGGGTGTTTATTTTAACATTTTGAAAATAACTATTAGTTATTA